ATTAATGTTGTATTTAAACAGGCCACAATATTGTGGTTTTACTTAAAAGATAAGATATACTGTAATTCTTAGACTTCTGTAAGAAATTGCTCCCACACTTAACCCATTAAACATGTAAAAAAAAATACAATTTCCATTTACTAATTGAACAGTTATGGTTTCTCTGATATTTCTGACTAGTTCCTTTAAGAATCTGTATAAAAATGATAAATTTCAAAGGCTGCACAGAAAGGAAACTAATCTGTTGAAAGAAAACCCTAATAACCTGTCAACAGTCACTGGCAAGTGAAAAAATGATGGCAGCAAATACTATAAAACAGGATAACTTACTAGCAAAATAGTAGCTGCCACTGATTTGCTAATTATTATTTTAATAATTGTGTCCTACATGGAATATGAAACTTTGATGCATTTCTTAGTTGTGAACATTCTTTGTATATGTAATTTTTCTGGCAATCCTTGGTCACTTCTACCTTTGAACAATCAGACTTCCAACTGTGCCAACTTAGTTGCATTTTTCTTTCAGAAGTATATTCCTATTGTAATTATAAAAATAAGAGTGCTCATACTTTTTCATGATTAGATTCCTTCATAGTATGTCCTATGGATCAAAGAACCTCAAGTGGGAAAAATTAAAAAGTTAACAAAAAATCCCATAATGGATCTATTTTTGAGACACATAAATATAATGTGGCTACACCATATGTATTTAGAAATAAAGATCTTGGGCAGGACAGATGGGCACTAGGGTCTAGCTAAAAAAACAATGAATATTTTTTTAACTTTAAAAATGCTTAATATTTTTTCTACCTTTAATCATAGTAAAATGTTTTTCTCCAATAGCTTTAATCATATTAAATCTAAGATACTATAATAACAATGTTATTTTGTTATCTTTTAAAAAGAGTTTGCACTGTCTCCAAGATAAATTACAAAGCACTCTTGTATGTTTTATAAATTTGATTTCAAGGTAAATGTACATATCAAAGCAATCTAATACATAATCCACGTGTACTAAGGCTTGGTTGATTTGCATGAAGAATAAACTACATCATAAGGAACATACTTTATATCAAAAAGTATCAGTCTAAGCAAAATTGTTGAACAATCACCATCTCTGATAATGTGGGGGGAAATCCACTGAATAATACTTTTATTTTATTATTGACTTCCTTCCAAGAACTCTGAGCCTCAAAACTACTTTAAAATGCTTTGCTAGAAATGATCTGGTGAGCATTTCTTAAATGGTGTTTCATGGTCCTTCTGCCCTAGAACAATCTGAGAAGGTTCTATGAATTGGCTTGCTCATGTCACTATTTCCTTCACAATAACTTTACAAAATGGTGTTTTTAGAATTCACTCTAGTAAAGAGGCTCAGAGTTGCACCAATTCTAGGATTCTCTTTAACCAAATCCATTCCAGACAGTGAGTAAAAATACCATCATATATAACCTCAGACATTCTTATTGTTAAGCATCAAATGTAAGAAAAGATAAGAAGGTATTATAAATAATGCTGAATTTCAATCAATATTTCCTTTAAATTGCCTCTCGTTTCTTTAAACTGTCCCTCCTTATTTCTTTAAACAGTCATAGGTATTCTTCATTCTATATACTGAGAGATAGAAAATGAGACAAGTGTGTTTATGGTCCATAATCTCAAAATAGTTAAGATTAGCATGATCCTATTCAGTAGATTAGCATGATCCTATTCTACTGAATCCCTATGTAAGATCTGAGCCTATGTTCCCTAGTATTCACTTTTTCCTGCTCTTGAAATTCCTTTTTCTCACCTGGTCTCTTTTGTGTAATTAACAATACTTTTATTCTTTAAGAATCAAAGCTACACTTTCAAAAATTTAAAATGAAATTAAAACTGTTATGTTTACAAATATTTTTATTATGGTCTCTGTATTTCTAGGCTACTTACAAAAACCAAATTTAACATAAAACATTAATTGACAAATTAAAAATAATGAGTTCAGATTAAAAATTAAAATTCTGGGAAAATTTCTTGTGTTCCAATTATATCAATTTAATGTAAGCATTTCAGAATTTAAATTGCACTACAGTTTGAAAGGCAAATATTTTCAAAGTTAAGGATAATTTTTAATATTTTTATAATGTTAATTTGAGGAAAATATTATGGATAACTAATAGTGAGAGACTTCACACTTTGTATAATATCAAAGAATTATAATTATAAATCCTGCAATTATAGTTATGAACATGTGTGTATATTAAAAATTGCTCTGTTCTTCCCAATAAAAAGTATAAATTATAAGGGGGATTTTATTTTATTCATAATTTCAACACTCAATTGTAGAGATAGAGAAAACTTAAAAAGTTCCACGTTGTTAAATAGTTTTTAAATATTAAAGCAATGCCATGTACATATAAATAAAATCACTAAGTCAGTGGCTAAAAGTTTATGGAATCACTGATTCATCAATGACTCATTAATGTTTGAGAATCAAGTTATATAGATCCTCTTGTCCTCCGAATGAATAAGAACCAAAAGCCCAAATCAGTATTGTATTTAAAATGGAGTATCTAGAATTGTTGCTGACTGATAACTTCTCTTTTAACCTATTAGTTCCATTTCAACAGTGTCAATAACAGTATAAAAACTTAAATACAAATTTCCCTTGGAGATGAAAAAAATTGAAATAATCTAAAATTGAATAACAAAAATCCCTGCCATTATTTATACTTAGAAGGTCAGATCCTATTTACTGAAATATTAATTCCCTATTAACTAGCAAAGAATCAAAACAGTCATTTTAAAAATTACAGATATGGGCAATTCCACACTGTTTAATCAGCTCATGCGTGCAATATTTTCAATAGAAATGCATGGATTCTGTTTCATAATTACCTTGAAGAAAACAGGCTGCAAGCTGATAGTTAATTTTAAATAACAATAAATGCAGCCATTGTCTATTTTTATTTCCTTAGGCTTGTCTGAAAGAATTTTAGGATGTGTAACAGTCTTATTAAGTTTTCAAAGTAGCATTAAATATTTCATTACGGGGGATTTCCATGTGGTAGTCATAATGTAAGGAGGGCTTGTTTTCCTTTTGTAGGCAGAGCAATACGTAAAACAAAAGAGACAGTATGCATTGTAGAGACTAGTCACAATATTGGTAAAATAGGGTAACGCAAATACAACAAAAGGTCTTTGAATCCCAGAAACTTAAACCAACACATCTAAAGGATATTTTGCTTCAGCAAAACATGGGGATTTGTGATTTATTTATGATGGGTATTGGCAGGTATACCTATGACATTTTAAACATACACACATACACAGACAAACAGACTATATATATCAGATGCATTAAGATATGGAATGCAAAATGAGTTACCTTTGCCATGGGAACACCCTAATCATGGTGGAATCCATGATCCCTTCCAAAGTAATGAAACGCTTATCACTAAATGAACTAGGTAGAAGTTCTACTAAATTGAACAGGATTGACTTCCCAAAGCAGCCTGAATTATTTTGTATAGCAACATTTATTCAGTGCCCTTGACATCTGTTTATTACAGGGCTACTATAAATATGAAGAAATAAACAAATAAACAACAAGGATCAAATAATACCTGAGGTTTGCATAATATAAAAATAATGATTTCACACATCCACAAGAAAATAGTGGATATTGCTATTTATAATTCAATGTACTTATTCACCAGTAGGGTTCTACCAAGTTAGTTTAGTTATTTAGAACAACCACAACAAAAATGTCTTCTTCAATTCAAGTTCCATCATGGACATATTGGTGTAGTTTTCTTGGAGGTACTTTGTCACCGCCCTCTTCATTTCACTTTCCTAGTAAAGCTTACAATCAAAAGGAATTTCCTTGGGCACCCCTCCAAATATCAATCAGGACACCCTACTTTTCATGATGGGCTACCTGTTGAAAAGTCAACAAGCTGAGTAGTCATACAAATAAAAAAATATATAAATCCCTTATAAAATCCAGTTTGAAATTTACAAAAGTGATTTAAGGGGAATTGCGTTAGTCCACATAATTCATGCTCTAGCAAGAAACAAATACTATTATCTCTTGAATGTGCCTCATAATTTGATTTTTAATGTAACATTTTTTTTCTAATTACAATATTTCACTAACCATCTTTGCAAGTCCTTAAGATGCTTCATAAAAAATAATCAAATATAACTGTCAACTTGCCTTAATGTTTTCATAGTTATATGTTCAACTACATTGGTCATAATAGTTTAATTAGGAGTATAGTTCCAAAAGGTAGGTAAGTAATTTAATCTGAACATAAATTTTACTCTCCTGATTTTCAAGCATACTTCTGTGTTAATTTCACTAATTATATCAATTTATCTGTAAACCTAAATGCAACTATGAAGCAGGACATAATCATAGAATATCTTTATTTAAAAATCAGTAAAGTTTTATATTCAGAGTATGTGAATTCAAAAAAACTAAGTACTGTATGCAAAAATACCTTGCCCTTTAATGTTCTATGTAAAACTAAATTTCAAATGCTGCTATTAGATGATAAATGATAACCAAAATATTTGTATTATTCAGAGAAAAGAAAATAAGGAAATATGGTCATTTATTGGGATTTCTATGTTATAACCTTTCAGCATATAAAAGAGACTAAGAAAATAGTATGTAAATAATAACAACTAGACGCAAAAAAATGAAAGGAGATATTTAACGACAGTTATCATTTTTAATTTGCAATGTCTTTTGAGGTGTGGGATATATTTTACCGTTCTGAACGTATAAAATTGTTTGCCCTAAATTCAGTTCCAAAGTTGCAGAACGAAAACACAAAAGGCCTGTTGCGTGCATGGAGGAACCTATTGAGCGTTCAGAGATAGCCATTATGAGCCACGTTGTTTGAATTATTTTCCGGGCCGATTCCATAAAAGAATCTAAACTAAGGTTTCCATCGTCCTCATCTATTGCATCGCGACCACGACCCTTTTTAAAAGGTCAAAATGTGAGAGATGTAGCCAGACAAGTCTTTTGCACCAAGAAGAAAAGGAAGATGGCTGACCTTGCATTTGAGATAGGTAATACAACACTACCGAAGAGCTTAATGGAAACGGGTAGATGAGATCGCAGGGAAAGGGTTTAGGGTTTAGTTATATGTAGGCCACAGCAAGGAAGCAGAGCCGGAGTCACCCATCCGGATCTGCAACAAACGGCCGCCGCCGCTGCTTTCCTTCGGCTGCAGGATCAGCTGAGCGCGGCTATCACGTGGGCGGCGTGTCGAAGGTCACAGCTCGGCTCACAATGGAGCTTTCGGAGCCTGTGCAAAGCGGCTTACAGATCCTGGCAGATCCGGGTAGCTTCTCGCTACGAGCTTTCCAGGCTCTGCTCCAGGCTGCCTTCCGAAGCTTGCTCACTGGACAGGCCGAGGAGGCCGTTTTCGGTGAGTGCTAGATCCCGGGCTCTGTCTTCCGTCCGCCGGCAAGGAAGAGAGCTAGCTGCTCGCTGAAAAGGGGACTTGGGCTCTTGTCAAAGGAAGCGTGGCGGCGGCGGCACGGCTGGTGGCTTGCTTCGGTGCTGCTCTGTAAAGCCAGTCCTGATGCCTGGCTGCTTCGCTGCGGTGGCCACAGCCGTTTCCCGTCAAATGCAGGAAGTCTCCCCCGCGCTGAGCCGGGCTCAGATGGTGCGCTGCGCCCTCTCCCTCCTTTTGTTTCTTTCGGGGTTTTGCTCGTTGCTGATTTCCTCCATTTCCCTGCGGTTGTCACTTCCTTGCAAAACGCAAGCGTTGCCTCTCGCTTATTTATGGCCTAAAAGCGAAGCTAAAGCCTCTCACTCTCCCGAAAGCAGACCGAGAGAGAAGGTGCCATTTGGAGATCGCCTTTCTTGGCGGCCGCGGTCGGTTAGTTTCCGCCGTTTTGTTTCTACTTTTCCTGCTGTGACGAGGCATTCCCGGTACATTGATAGTCGGGAATAATTTTTGCAAAAGTCAAAGTAACAAGCAGGTGAATAGACTTGAGGAAAGCACCGAGTTGGGTTTGGGACCTGGATCCTGCAGGCTTTGTTTTGATCATGTGATACTGTGATATTATTTCGAATTATTCAGTGGCAGTAATACATGAATTGCTCTTAATCTCGCAGCTGAAAGGCGCCGCTCATTTGTTTTGATGCTTTTGTTTCTCGTTTTTATTTATTTATTTTGTTTCTTCGAATTGAAATTCTCCGGCGATTGGGCTTTGTCAGCTGCTTGCCAAACTGCGCGGCTTGTTGATAGTAGGCCGGCCGTCTCTCGCAAGAGAAAAACGGCTCGAGTTTGCCTGGATAAGAGCTCTGCGGGAGCGGGGGCTGAATACGTGCGGCCTCCGATAGGTGCTCGTTTGAACTGCAACTTTGGAAAAGCAGTTCGGATTTCTTAAATGGGACGCGGCGAAAAAAAGGAAAGGAAAAATCGGAAAAGTTGAGCTGTGAAGGGGGGCGAGTAGAGACACGGTATTCTGAGCACTATTGTTAGAAAAGCGAAATTAACAGTTCTTCTACTACTCAGAAACAATATTTTCACACTGTTATCTAGACTTCGAGAAAGTCTCCTCCTTAGTTAGCAAAAGGCTTTTTACTCTTCTTCCTCTCCTCCAGAGCAAGAAGATCGCAATATTCTAAAAATATAAATGTGTACTGATGTTCATCAATCTTCCCAAATTCTGTTTGCCAGAATTCAAGCAATGAGTGGGAAAGTAACAGGGGGCACTGCTGTATTGAGTTCCTTTCCTTTCTTCGATACTTTCTGGCTGTTGGGGGATAAACTGAAATCTAGTTGCTAGAAATAACTATCATGTTTCTGATCTTGGGGAAATTATTCACATTTGAAATGAAGGGAACCTCAAATTCCAATATTTTAATTCCTTATAAGGGGGAATCTATAAAAAGAAATCCTTCACCCAATTTTGTGTTTAAAATGGTAACTGTAAATTGTGTCAATATAATAGTTTTTTGCTCAGCTGCTATAATTGCATGATGTATGTGTGTGTGTGTGTGTGTGTATATATATATATATATGTGTGTGTGTGTGTGTGTGAGAGAGAGAGAGAGAGAGAGAGAGAGAGTATATATGGGATATTCTATCTATCTATCTATCTATCTATCTATCTATCTATCTATCTATCTATCTATCCTGAAATATGTCATCAACCATTCATTTATTTTTAGATTACCCAGATTTGGACAATATTGATCCAGCAATATTAAAATACTGCCATGCAGCAACTACCACTTGTATTATAGAAGCTGGAAAACAAAAAGCTGACCAATCTATTATAAGGTATCCTAAAATTCTTCAACTTAAAAAAAAATGTGTTTGACTTATATTAGATTTATTGGTTAACACATCTTACTTTTCCTTTTAGTACCTATCTGGAAGATTGTAAACTTGACAGAGAAAGAATTGAAAACTTTTGCACTGAATATCAGGTTTTCAAACACATTTTATCCTTTTTAATACCATCCATTAAGTTTTGTTTAACCTGTAGTAGTTTATATGCTCTATTTTTATTCTTTTCCTTTTTGTAGAAACATAAGGATACTTTGGAAATCATATTGGGAAGGTATGTCCAAGGAAGTTATAGTGATCATCCAACTTTCAAATGCATCTTAAAAATAATAAATGTCTTCACAAGTTATCCAATTGGAGTAACAATCCATAAAACCACAATTAATACATTGTTCCTACTGTTCTTTGTTACCTGTAAAATCTCTACAGTTTTGTGGTTCAACATATCTCAGCCTAATAGATATTCATTATGTTTTCAGTATAGGCAGATGTCCACTACATATAACTGATGTTCGTTGGCGTTTGGAATATCAAATCAAGGTAATTTAAATAAAATGTGTATTCATTTCTTTTTTTCTTTTTTCTTTGCAAAACTTAATTTTTTCTTTCTGTCTTACCATTTTAGACTAATCAACTTCATAAAAATTATCGCCCTGCCTATTTGATGACCTTAAAAGTAGAGGTATTACATCAATCCAGAACTTCAAATATTAGATTATGATTGTTTTAATTTTTGTTACTTATTAGGAATTAATGTTTGGGATTTTGTTATTTTAGAATGATTCAAGATCTCATCAGGACATTAATTTTAGTTGTACTATGGAGCAATTGCAGGTATTTATTCCTCACTTTTTTGTGTACTAATATTCAGTAGTACCAGTTCTTATAAAAGTTTTAAAAATATAAAATGCTTCAATGTGTCTCATCTTCTAAAATATAAAATGCTACCAAAATACTAGCTTTTCTACTTTTTCAATATGAGATTTCAAGTTTATTCACATTAAGGGACTGCACCACACAAAAATATTATTTTTGGCAGAATGGGTGGAACCTCTTTCAAATGTGTTAAATTAGATGAACTTCATTTCCTATATTATAAATACTTGAATGTGTAATATAATATAATATGAACATGAAATTTGACTTATTTGGCTTTATTTAAATTACATTGATATCTGAGTCCCCATTATTCACAGCTAATTTACTCTAAAATCAAAGCAACTAATCTGAGAATAATTAATAATGTAACATTGCAGTCCCATGTATTAGGAGTAAGCTTCATTATCTAATAAAACTTATTAATAACAAAAAAGGAATAAACTAGTCAAAACCAGAGAAATAAGAAATAAACAACTGTCTACAATTTCATATTGTTTCAAAATTTGTTTATATGTGTGTGTGTGTGTGTGTACACACACACACACACACACATCACATTTATCTAAAATTTCATATGTTTCAATGGATAATATTAGATATCTTTAGGAATATAGGCTCAGAAAATTGTTGGGTTTATTAGATATCTTTAGGAATATAGGCTCAGAAAATTGTTGGGATTGTTTACTTCTTTATATTCAATTAAAGTAGAATTTATATTGTTATCTGTGTTATTTGAGAAATAAGAAAAGTAAAGTTTATGTTAATTATCAATCTATCTGTCCCAGTTTAAACTCCTTAATTTTGTATGTAATAAAGCACATTCATGATATACTCTAATAAAGATGTTTCAGTATTTCTTAAAAATATAAATGGCAAAAAATGCATTTTGGAATCTTTGGAAATGTTGGTATAAAGAAAACTTCAAGTATTGCATATAATTAGTTATTTACAGCAAAACATTTCTTAAGCTCTTATTTTATATTTTAGGATTTAGTGGGAAAGTTAAAAGATGCAGCTAAAAGTCTAGAAAGAACAACTCAACTATAATTACAGACTTGGCAATCAACTGGATTGAAGAAGAAAATAAAATGTTTGCTTCTTTGGCTATATGATGATCTTTTTTCCTGGTTTTATTTAATGGAATTGTGATATATGTTTGATCAAACAGAAATGGACTTTTTACTTTCTAGATAACATTACATGTTCGTGTGCAATAAAAACTGTTGAGCTTGTTTAACTGTAACATATCTTTGTAGATAGCTCTACACTTTTTAGATATGCTTGTGTTTCAGTTTTGCCCTTTTTTAAAATATATATTTGATTTCACCATTTTTTACTTTATCATCTAATAAATGAGAATATAAATCTAATTTGTGTGTCTTATCTGATTTATAATAATGGGTTGGGAAGGATTGGATTCCCAGCAGTTACATTATTCCAAGAAGACCTGCTCTACAAAACCCATGTTAAAGAGGTATAGAGTTCTAGGTTTAAAGTCATTCTACTGTAATAAAGTTATCACCTTGCTTGCACCTTATTTGCTGAAGGCAAGTTCCTGCTGTTTCCTCCCCCTCCCTTTTTTTTTAAATGTTGGAGTTATTTACATGAAAAGCTGAGAAGATCCATTCATTCACCTGCCTTAACTTGGGTTGACTTATTAAATATTCAATCATTTCTGTAAATAGAAAATTGTTGGAGTGTTCTGAATTGCAGCAGTTGAGTGACTATAAATAGAATATGACCAGTCTTGTCTCCATGGCTCTGTTCTTCCCAAAACAAAAAATCTTATCCCCAAGTCACAGTGTGGGTTGAACTTATTAGTTACACACCTAGCCTAGTAGAGAGGCAGCAGTTTCAGTCTGGTGTATATATGGAGAGTGGGATGCACAAAGTCTTGAGTTCTCATTTTCCTTCCATCTTCTAAGTGCTTTTTGCTATGTGGAGAGGATAGACTAGAATAGAATTTTTTATTGGCCAAGTGTGATTAGACACACAAGGAATTTGTCTTGGTGCAAATGCTCTCAGTATACATACAAGAAAAGATACATTCATCAAGAATCATAAGGTACAACACAATGATAGTCATAGGGTACAATAATCTAAATGAGACAAGAGTTGTGAGAATTATCCCAATGACTATAGGGATGCAGAGACAAAGGAATTGAATCTTGTCCTATGGTGCCATCAAGTTAGAAAAATCTCATTATATACATTGGTCCTAACTCTGTGGTGTACAAAATATGTTCTGAGGCACAAAATATGGCTTGCAAAGAGAAGGAAATTCAGCACCCTAGTTCTCATTCTATTACTTTTTAACAACAATTCAGCCCATAAAGGTTGCTTGCTTAAAGATCTGCTACAGTTGTCCCACTCATTCACCAGGGTGAGAAAAGTATGATCCTCCTTATTTTCATAGCCCTGAGGGAGTGTGCAAGCAGCAGAATGCCTTAGCCTAAATTTTCCAACTCTAGGCATTACCCACTCTGGAAAGTTTAAAGTTCAGAACATCTGGAGAGAACCATATCTGCTATACAGTAGCAAGAAGGTCTTCATATTTTGTATTCCCTAACAGGATTTTTTTAATGCATGGAAAGAACAGAGTAGAATTTTTTTATTAATTTTCTAACCTTGGGTCATTTGAAAGCATAAGATAGTCTGGGGATAATAGATTTTCTTTCGCTAAATATTTTGCTCAGTACCACCATTCTCTTTTCTGGTTCATATATTGCTAGACAACTCCATAAATTGTTGCCTTCCAACTATATCTAGATGCTTATATGCTTGGGGGTGTATGCAAATAATGGAGATTGAAAGTCCAACACATTTGAGGGAGAGTGACAAGTCAGGAAAGGCTATTAAGGAAAGACTTTCTGGTCAAGGGAGGACCTTATAGTGGTCACAGGCAGATTCCATTCAGAGTGCTAAGCCATTCCTACTTAAAACATTTCCCTCCCCAACCTAAACATAAGACAGACATTCAATAAAAGTGGTACGACCTGCTTTTGCATTTAACTGCTGCATGCGTTGCAGTGAATCATATCTTGGATTGAACAGAATTGTACAGTGAAATCTACAGCATGATTTTCTTCTCTGGTGGAGGTTTGACCCTATTGTGAAATAATGCTTTCCAGGAATATTTCTTTTCCCCTTCCATCATTTTCCTGGAGATGAAATATAAGGATATTTTTTAACCAGTGTCTTCACTTTCCTGATCTCTGCAGGATCTGAGAGTGACAATATTGTATCCAAACTAATGCATTCATGTGGATCAAATTGTCAGGGTATAGTCAAAAAGCCCTCTTTCATTAGTCTCTTTGGATGGTTGGTTGAGGATGGTACTTTTTAATATCAATAAATGGTTGACAACAAGATGATATGCCAGGATGCTTGCCAGGCATGGAGGAACAAGGCAGGTTATTAACTTCAAAGTGAGTTTGATAGCAAATCTTTCAGAGAAGTGGATTAATCCCAAGGTTCTTCAATACAGCCCTGTGTCATTTAGTCATTTTCTGATGCCACCGCCTTCCTTCCTATAATAGACATTCCACTCTTCATCTACTCAGGAACCTACAATATGCATCCCACGAAGACCTGCCAAGATGGAAGAAAATGATGTCAGTCAGGAACCCCAACAATTTCCAATGGTGGGACCTTAGAATTGTTGAGACAAAGAGCTGCCAAAAATGAAGAAAATACTATCTTTTTAGGAAGGGGAATGCCTACATTAGCATAGGATTGTTTGTTTCTCAAAAAGAGTCAATAGAATCAAGAACTTAGTCCTTCAATCTTGGGCAGAAGAAGCTGAAAAATCTTGAGGAGTTCGGAAAGATTCTGGTTGGTTCGTATGGACACAAAAGGACAAACAGACCAGCTAGACTATGCTGTCTCTAACTACTCTCAAAATTGGTGCCTCTACTTAGTTTCTACTATTATGCAAAAAGAGAAAAGGGAAGGTAAGACCACGAAAATTTTGTTACAAAGAATGCTTGTCAGACAGCCAGGGACTCCGGAGCTGGGCTTTGTGAAGTGGGGCAATTGTGTGAGATTAAATTGCGAAGGTGTGTAGAGAGGTGTGGGGAATTTGGAAGACCGCCTTCACCTAAGTCTTCTAAAATCAGCTGTAGGAGACGCGAGGTGCCAGAGTTCTGTGGTGAACTAAATCTATAACCTTGAAGGCAGGCGGGAAGCGAGAAGGCGTGTCTAAAGGCGGGGGGGGGGGGGGGAATTACCGAGAAAAATGTGTGCCAGGGCACCTTCAAAGGTTGGATGGGCTTGCGAGGGTGGATGTGTGGGAGTAGATATGGGAGTAGGTTATCTGTGCAGGGAGTAGATTATTTGTTCAACACAACAAACAAAGGGGGGAAAAATAAAAAGAGAGAGTTTTTTTTTGAGGCGGTGAAATAAAACGCTATACCTTATTGGCTGAAAAAATCCGGAATACTCGTTCGTAGCACTTTGAGAAGGGGCAAAAAACGGAAGAGGGAAGAGGGATGAAGTAGCATGCGAGAGAAGGGAAAATAAAATAGGTACCTGAGGGAAAACGAGACTGGACTTGGGCTTTTGGGGGGAGGGGGAGAAAAACCGCTCCAGAAGAAGATAGGTGTATGGAGAAGGGAGAGTTTGGTTCTGTCAAAGTAGCTCGAATCCCTCTCGCGTGAAAAGGTTGTGATTCAGTCGGAAAAGAAAGGATCGGAGATATTGGACCAGGTAAAGGACTTGGGGAAGGGAGACGTAGTGCTGAGTTGCGCCAGAAGAGAAGGGGATCTGCGCCGGGGCTGGAGAAGTCGCACGCACCTGGTAATCCGCGGCCGGATGCCAAAGCGGGAAAATCCGCTCTAACGGAAAAGGAGTGAAGGTGGAAGGGCTGAGGTGACGCTCGGGGTTGATGGTTTCAGCTGCCAGTTATCAGCCCAACTTTTATAATACCACTTTGGACCGCCTTTCTAGCATTTCTGAGGTGTCTTAACACTGAGGTGCCCAGGAAGACGTGGGAGGTGGAGGAAGAATGCTCGGCCGAGGTCGGTGTTGTGGGAGAGGCTAGGTGAGGGCAAGAGCAAACAGTAGGTCTGGGGGCAAAGGAGAGGCTCTGGGGAAAGGCGCTGAAGTAATGCCACACATACTGGCTGCTAAAATGGTGGGCAACCTTTTTCAATGTGTGTGTCTATGTATGTGCATGTGGCGCGCGAGCCAGTGTCTGTATGTGAGTGTGTGTGGAGTGTGTGTGTGCGCGCGCGCGCCGCGAAGGGGAGGCAGGCTGTAGGAGAAAGGATCAGAGCAGCTTCAGTAGCAGAGGCTCGGGGTGGAGAGACTGAAGCCAAAGGTCTGTCAGTTTATTACGCCTTTAAAAGAAGGGGGGTGGAGGTAGATTTTTGTATGAAAGGACAGATTTAACGGAGAACGAGAGAGGAAAAAGGGCAAACGGAGATCCCTGCGTGCCCTTGTTAAGCGAGAAAGGGGTTGATCGCGCGAGGTGACAGGGCGTGTAAAATCGGTAGAGAGGAATGAGTGTGTGTAGCGCGGGGTAGGTGTGCAAGCTGGAAGGCGGGGGGAGAGGAAAGGAATAAGGCATTGTACGCGCGTGAGTGCGCGAGGCGGGGGGGGGGGAGAGAGGAAGAGCGGGAGGAGGTGGAACAGAGGCAGCCGCGTGAGTGCCGCGGAAAAAAAGGAGGACTAGCGAAGTATGTGCGCGCGCGCGTGTCTGGAGGGGGGGGGAGGCGGAAGAGCAGGCGGAGGGCAGGGAGAGGGGGAGGGGAGGGCGGCGCACAAGCGGGGGGGGGGGGGGGGGGAGGCGTCCGAGTCGCGGGATTGGGTCACAGGGAGGCTGACGGCTCCGACTACACCGACACTAATTCCCAGGCCACCCTTAAGGAATGAGGAGTCCCACGTGACGCTGGCGGGGCGGGCGAACTCTGAGCCATTTTGGTTACGGTGTCAGTTTCCACTGTGCCCCTTCAGTGCTTCGCTCCCTCCACCACCACCACCACTCGCGGTTCTCCACTGCCTCCACCTCCCCGCCTGCTCCTTCCGCAGCAACAACTCTGATATTATTCAAATATTTTCATATTATCATTATTGTTATTTTTACAAAGAGCGAAGTGGAGAGAGAAAGAGCTCTCTGGAAGGCAGGAGAGGGAAAACACAAGACCGGGGCGGAGGAGGCGGGGGGGGGGGAACCGATAGACGGAGCCGGGAGGAGGGCTAGGAAGCCGGAGAGACAATGGGCTGGTGGTGGAGGAGGAAGAGTGGCAGTCCAGACGGGCCGGAAATATTTTAAGAGCCCAGCGCTGGAGCTACGCGTTTTAAGGAAGGCGAGAGCAGCCAGCCAGGAGTAGGGAGGGTGAGCGAGCGAGGTGGGGGGTGGAAAAAGAAGAGAGAAAGAGAAAAGGAGACGCGCAAAGGAAGAGGAGGGGAAAGGCAAGCAGACTCGGAGTGAGGCCGAAGGAGAACCGCCCGGCTGTTTGGGGAACTAAAAGGAGCTCGGCGCGGCGGCGGCGACGGTAACAGCGACGGCGGCAGCAATACGCTGATTGCAACTGACAGCGCCTGCAGTTCGTTTCAAGATGGCCGCTTGGCTCACATTCATTTTCTGCTGAACGACTTTTAACTTTCATTGTCTTTTCCCGGCAGCTTTGGTCGCCCCCCGGCAGCGTCCTTCCGCGGGTAGGTGTGCAGGGGCGCGCTTTCTAGCCGAGGTCGGAGGGCGATGGGGACTCCGCGGAGAGTTTTGGGGAGAGGGGGGGCGGTTTGAAAGGCTGCGAGCGGGAGCTTCGGTGTCCCCGTGTTCTCCGTATGGGAAAAGCGCTGACAGTCTCGGCTCCAGCCACACGCACACGCACACGGTTCGCTCCTCGCGCGCGCGCCCAGAGCAGCGGCGGTAGCAACCCGGGCGCTTGGTTTCATTCCGCCACCAACGCTTGCAAATTTTCGTTCCCTTTCCATCGGAGATAGGTCGTAGAGCCCTCCTGGATGCACGGCCCTGAAGGAGGATGTTTGTATTTTCGGTTGCGACTAGCCATCCAAGTCCAGCGCTCTTTGTTTATCGGCAGATTTCGATCGAAGAGCGACACTTCGTGCAATCTTGAGCTGCCTAGGTCACGGGATGGCGATCGCTTATGAAATAAACGGGTCGGCGGGGGGTTCAAAAGCCACCTAGCGCTCCCATTTTATAGGGATGAGTTCCGCAGGGGGTTGCGATCTTGCTGGAGGGTTCGCTGAGCCGTTGGAGATCTCCGGAGAAATGTTATTAACTTAAGTTCGACCAACACTTGTGTGGCGTAAGATGGCTTGGTAAGATGGCGGTTCTCTTTTAGCGTGCCCTTTCGCATATGTGCTTAAAATGCTGAAGTTTCTCCCGAGCTTTGGAAGAGAGGACAGGAGGTTGGAAATCTAGCTTCAATGAGAGGTTAACGCGCGTTTGATTCTTGGAGTTCTTATATCCAGATTGAACATGGGGTGGAATTGAGGGAGCTGAGTTAATAGAACTTGCAAAGCAATCCTACTGCAGCTTTCTATTATTTAACCAGGATTTCGCCTCTCCCTCACACATCTTACCCTTCCAAGTTGAATAAGGGAAGGTTAACTGAAACATCTTGTTAGCCCAGATGTGATGGTTTTCGTCCTGGCTCTAAAGGTGCCTGGGTGGGAAACTTGTTTTGTGTAAAATCTCGTGGCCTTGACAAAGTAGATACTGCTACAACTCAGCTTATTTTGTTGTTTTAATACCTGGTGGGAAATAACTCAAGGGCACTTAATCCAATCTTCTCTCCCTGCAATTAACCTTTCTCTCCAAATGGAAAGTTAACTATGTGATCCACAGCCTTCCTCACTGTCCTTTTGAGTTTTTGTTAGCCTCCCACTATTCAATACTTGTTAGTTTCAAATGATCTTTCTTGGAAGTCCAAAAATATAACTTCAAGGTGTAGGGAAAGAGTGATTTGTGAAGCTGGGTATTTCTCTGCTCTGGTCTCTGGTAAATTAGAGCTCATCTTTTAATATATATAGTTAGTTGGTGCTGAGCCTTCCCACTCAATGTATCAGCATTTACCTAGCCAGAAAGGAACTGGCTCCTGCCTTTGAGGAAACTAGCTGGAGAGGTCCATTCCCTGGATGAAAGGGTTTAGCTGGAGAGAATATGGGTTATAGTAAACATACCTATTTCTTTCTTGGCTGGGACTCTTCAGTGGGACATTCATGCTTCAGGGATTACCTTTAAAACGGCACCTAATGACAATTCAAGGCAAAGTGGACCAGATTATACATCTGCCCCTGCAAGCCTCCTTATTTTAGGCAGCTTTGATGAATTGACATCTCAAGAGCCTAGAGCCTAATTTCTAAAACATCCATCCACCCAACTATCCATAGTTTTCTAGGTTGACATAACACATGTAAGGCTGCTGGTAACCTTACATAGTTTTAGATAACAAGTTTTATCTCTCTCTGTTTTCCTGGTGGAATTCATGGAGGAGGGGGGGGCTGAAAATAAAATACAATATTAAAAGGCATTGTGTCTTGGATACAGAAAGGTATACCATTACTACAATGAGGTGGGGGACTTCAGGGAAAGAACACTAGGGAATAAAAGCCCCCTACTCCACCCCAAAGTTAGTACTTTGGGTAATGGGATGCCTGTTTTGTTTATGAGTGTATATAAATTAGTGCATGGGAGTTGCTGGCATCTTTCACTGATGCGTAGCTTTGATTCAGGAATGTTGGTTTAAGAATTCAGTTGATACCTCCAACGAGATCATGGAGGAGGGAGCTAAGTAGGTAATAAATAATAAGCTTTGAGTAACAAAGCTTCACGCTTGATTTCAGTTTTCTTCTACTTAGGCAGAGGCTCTGTTTCCCTGAAATGAAACATGTGTTTGTATCTTCTGACTAATTGAGTTGCCTTCTTCTGTGCCTCACTGCTTGGGGGAAAAAATTTAAGTCTATTGAATTGGTGGACCCTTTCTAATCTACCTTTTGGTTAAAGTATCTGTATTTACTGCATCTTGATTTGAACAGATAGATGTGTTTTATCATGATAGTAGTGGTGGTAGTGGTAAAAAGGACTTCAATTATCTGCTAAAATGTTGGGTGGAGAAGTATGCCCTTTATTCATATCCTGAAAAATGCTCTGGAACCAGAAGGAGAGGCCAGGCATGGGGGCTCCTGTTTTCCTTGCCAGTTCTCAGGCCCAGGTTATCGAATCTCTCCTTCCCCTTCTACTCCAAACTTGTATATCTTTTGCTCCCCCACCCCCCAAAAAGATAAAAATAGCAATTTCCTTCACGCAGTTGTGTCCTTTCTTCTCTGTTTTTCTTTCCCTTTTCTCCATCCGGGGAAGAGGTACATACAATGTGAAGTTTTGGCAGTTGGTTTTGTGGTGAACGATCCTAGTTGTACTCTCTATCCCTCTCCCACCTACCCTCGCAACTTTTGGAACATTGGTCATGAATTCGGGGCTCTTTCGGAAGCGTCGGAACATTTTGCCTCGATTGCTGAGTGTTCAGAGTAAAACAGGTAGATCCGCGGCTGCGGGAATGGAACCTGTTCTTTCGACTGACCCTAACCTCCCCACTTCCTTTACCTCCCATCGTGAAATTTTCCCTGCCGGGCGGTGGAGCAACATGCCCCTCCTGAGGATTTCCCCAAAGACTTGCTTTGCTCTCTTCACTTTCCGGCTGCAGCCCGAGAGCCGCGGTACATTTGCACCATCCTAGGATCTGCGACCCTGCAAGATTGGACGCCAGAGCGGGATGTCCACGAGAGCCCGGAGATGGGTGTGCTAGGACTCTCTTGAATCCCAGTCGGGTCAATGGCAAAGGCTGGCGCTCCTCTAAAGTCTCTTACCAACCCGAAAGGGGACAATATTTAACTCTGTGCCTTGGCGATCCAAGAGGCGATAAAGTGATGTCGCGGAGCCGGGAGGCGAAGAAGGGAAGGAAGCAACGGCCACTTTCTTGCCCGTGGCCGACGTGGATGGAGGCCCCGAGAGAAACCGAAAGCCCCTGGAGGGAGCCTCTTGCTTTCGGTCTGGCATCGACCCCAGAGCTGACTCGGGCCGCCCTCGAGGCCTCCTACTACCAGCCCCGCTTTTGGCGTCCTCGCTTTCTTTCCTGCGACGCGTCTGCCCGCCCAACTGGACTGCTCGGGGAGGAATTTTGGCCCCGCCAACAACACCCGGCCAGGATCCTTCCCCCGGCCTCATCCCTGGCCACGATCCCGGCTCTTTTCTACAGCGGTACCCGCGGCCCGTCCTTCTTCTCCCTATTCCCTGCTTGATCCCTACCCCAGGGGCAGCAGTTGTTGCCCCAGAAGGGACTGGGATTTCTTCCGCGCCGGGCCTCCAAACCCCTGCGCCCCCCTCCCGTTTCCTCTCCACGCCACCTCTTCCCAGCCTGGCGCCTCCCCGCCCCCTCTCCCCTGGTGCGCTCCGGGTGGTGGCAGGATGCCAAGTGTAAGTGTAAGTTGCTATAGCAACCCCCTCGCTAGAATGGTTCCGAAGGCGGCTCGGTCCCGAGTTTCTTGGGTTGGCGGCGGCTACGAGCTAACAGCCGTCCCCGTTCCTGGGGCTCGGGTTGATCTTATCCTGCCTGCTGCTACCCGCCTGCCAGCCCTTGTTCCGAGGTGCGGGCCCAAACCGCGCCAGCTGCCAGCCAGCCACCCCTCCTTTGCTTGCTTCTTCTTTCGCCGCCGCCGCCGCTTCAACCGCGGCCGCCACCCCCCCCCTTCTCGCCGGAAATGCCCAGAGCAACGTCCGCGCTTCCACTAGGATCACTCTCCCGCCTCCCGCTTGTCCCGACCTCCCCTCCGCAATCCAGACCTGCGGTTTTCCGGTAGCGCTGTTGGGGGAGAGGAGGGGGAAAGCCCGTGGGAGTTGCCCCAAGGAGCCTCCTCCGCCCGTCCCAGGCAACTCCTCTTTTGAATGTCGCCGTGCAGGGCTGGGGGCAGGTGGTCAGTGGGACAGAGCGCTCTGGAAGGAGCCCCGCTCTACTGCCGCTTCTTTGCGCTCTTGGCTCGGCGGCTTCGCACCTCCTTTTTCTCGCCTGAATCCGATTGTTTGTCTTCCCCTAGAGGAGGCCACTTTTAAGCCGCGGGGAAGTGAGAGAACCGTGTTGGGCCGCGCCTCCGAAGTTCCCCCACGGTGTTTAAAGCGCTCCTCTTTGTTTGTACGCCTTTTAGAGTCTCCTCGGATTGAACCAAGATGCATCGCACCACCCGCATCAAAATTACGGAGCTCAACCCCCATCTCATGTGTGTGATTTGCGGAGGGTATTTCATCGATGCTACCACGATCATCGAGTGCCTGCACTCCTGTAAGTCCTGCTTGGTTGCTTCTAATCAGGGGCCTGCTGCCAACCAGCCCTCCTGTCCCTTGGGTCCTGGTGGAGCAAGGTTGGCTCTGCAGGACCAAATTCCTTCACTGACCATATGGCCCTTTCTTGCCGAAAAACAGCTAACTTTGTTTAGAGTCTGGGTTAGAAATAATAGCTGAAAACCATGCCTTGATTCTGCTTTGTAACCTTATTTCTTTACAATTCTATATATTTTTTCCTCTTGCAGTTTGTAAGACTTGTATTGTACATTACTTGGAGACCAGCAAGTATTGTCCAATTTGTGATGTCCAAGTTCACAAAACTAGGCCTCTTTTGAACATAAGGTAAGAAAAAAGACAACTAAATATTTTATGTCATAGTATATCTTTTCATATATTACATTTCTTTCAGTGCAACTTCCTTGCCAATGCAAATGCAAAGAGCAGTCCAGGAAACATAATTGTACTATTTCCATAAATATCAGTCTTGCATTTTAATTAGTCATTTTTCTTCTTTTTCTACATTAGAAGCCCATTTTTATTCCCTTTATCTTTCTTTTCTTTCTTACTTTGCCTCAATTGCAATTTGTTCTCATTGTCAGTGTGCATATTAATTTCCTGTATTTTTTTCAATATTGATCTTTATAAATAAAGTATAAAGTATTGATCAAGAAATGCAAAAGTTAAATTATTTAGATAAATCATTATTTAGTTGCATTTCATTGGCTTAAGGGTTACATCTTTTTATTAAATGCCTACATTTTTACAATGGTGACAGTCTAATCTGATATCTTTCTACCAAAGCAAAAAAAATACAGGTAGATTAATAGCATAGATCTAAAACTTATATAAAACAATTCAAATCTGGTTAAAGTTTTGGTTAAAAATTCTCAACCAAGCTGTTTTTGTTCTGGGAAGTTGTAAATATTAACATTGGACTTTATATTCCAGATCTGATAAAACTCTCCAGGACATTGTATACAAGTTAGTACCAGGTCTTTTCAAAAGTAAGTAAGCAATTGGACTGAACAGCCAATGCAGTAACAGAATGTGTAAACTGGAAGAGATGAATAACAAAAATATGTTTTCTCTCAGATGAAATGAAAAGAAGAAGAGATTTTTATGCTGCTCATCCATCTGCTGATGGTAAAAAAAAGATTCTGAGTTTATAATTTTATAAAGAATTACTTTCTAAGCAGAAGTTGAGATTGTAAAAATATTTTACCATTTTAGTGCTCATCCATAGCAAATAAATGTTTTATACATTCAAAATTGTTTAAATTTATTTACAGAAATAATTTTAGTAGTGACTATGATTTATGATTTATGACTGATGTTGTCTTTACTCTTTCTGATTTGAATTTTAAAATATAACTTACTGTGAACATTTCTGTGCAGCTGCCAATGGCTCAAATGAAGACAGAGGAGAAGTTGCAGATGAAGATAAAAGGATTATAGCAGATGATGAAATAATAAGCTTATCCATTGAGTTCTTTGACCAAAATAGGTAAGTTGTAAAAGCAGTGTCTTATCTTTATTAGTACATTCATATTTTTTTCTTTACTGCTATAATATATATCCTTTTTCTAGAGTTGAACGGAAAGGAAGCAAAGAGAAGGAGAAAGCCAAAGAGGAAGTAAGTAGATAGTTGGTTCCTTGACCTTTTTATTTCTTTTTCAGAAAATAAAACCATATTTGTTTTTACTAGAGTCGGTTATTCTGCAGAGTGAGCATGCCTTCTTACTAATTACAATCAAGGGCATTAAAAAGGCTGATAATATATTAGAAAACTTTCTCCTATTTTCCCCCCTTAGTTAGTGTAGGCATTTTTAAGAATAAAATTTGTATGAATTAAATTATAAAAGAAGAATCTGATAAGCATGCATTTTGCTTTTTCTTCATTGATTTTGGATCACCAGTGAGCATTTAGTTTTCATGCTGCTAGTTTAACCATGTTTCCATCTCTTTCTGTCTACTATATTGAAATGAACATTAGTATCAGATTTTGAATGTTGTCTCAACCAAATGCCCCTCCCAGGCCAACAACAAAAGATATTTACGCTGTCCTGCAGCAATGACTGTAATGCACTTAAGGAAGTTTCTCCGGAGCAAAATGGACATACCCAATGCTTTTCAGGTACTTTTGTCCTAGGGACATTGATGGGGAAGAACTGTCATAAAACAGTTTTAGCTAAAGCCATTATTTAAACTTTAATTCTGTTGAAAAGAATTCGCCTTTGGAATTAAACAGCAGCATTTTTAGATAAAAGACCTACAGGAATGGATTTTGGAGGGTTTCTCTCTGAATCATTATATTCTAAGCCCTTTGACAGAATGGCAGATATCTTCTCAACTGAATCGATGTATTTATTAATTTCAGATAAAATGTGTGATGTTTGATTAAGACAGTACAGCGTATGCCATATTGCAGTTGTATAATCTTTCACACTTCCCTGTCATGTTAAAGGAAGTATTATTTCATTTCTTTTATTAGATTGATGTCATGTATGAAGAAGAGCCTTTAAAGGACTACTACACACTAATGGATATAGCCTACATTTACACTTGGAGAAGGGTAAATATATAAGAGTCTTTCCAAGTCTTGGCCATGTTGAGTCACAGGGGAAACAAAAGTACACTCTTTCTAACAAGGGTTTCCTTTCTGATTTTCTTTGGCAGAACGGCCCCCTCCCTTTAAAGTACCGTGTGCGACAAACCTGCAAGAGAATGAAAATAGGTGGCCAGCAGAGGGATGGCTTGCACAACAGTGGGGACCTGGAAAGTGACTCTGGCAGTGAAAAAGCTGGCAGCCCCATGGGAGGTGCTCCTTCCACATCATCCTGCGTGTTGAGCCCCAGCACTCCGGTGCAATCTCCCCACCCCCAGTTCCCCCACATCTCTAGCACTATGAATGGAACCAGCAGCAGCCCAAGTGGTAACCACCATGGCTCCTTTACCAACAGAACCCGGAAAGCATCCATCAATGGTTGTTCTACAACTTCTTCTGGCTGACTGGCATAAATTTTCCTTTCTGACTCTGAAGACTGGGTGCCGAGGTTATTTTTTCTGCTCTGTGTCACTATCATATCACACCATTAAGCTTTATAGTTGCAAATTCCATGTCTGTCTATGCCTGGTGGTTAGCAAGAGAGGAATAAAGATTGGGAATTAAATGGGAGGACAAAAGTTGGACCTTTTTTATATTAAACAACCACCACAACAAACTCTTTCTTAAGAACTAGTAACATGGAAAAACAAAGGATAACAATCCAAATATTTGAAGAGGGTTTTTTTCTGGACTTCCCATTATTTTTCTGTTTCTTAATTTGGAATCTGAAAATTGATGCTTACCCACAAATGAAAGTTTTGTAAATCCAGATTAATTTCCTATATATCTTTTGGATTATGAACTATACTGGTTTGGGGAATCTCATTCTGAAATCCTTCTCCATCTCGGAATGCTTAAATGCCAGACTGAATATGCATAAAAAGATGCGTATATGTAGCCACACCACTGTGAATAACAATGTATTTGCTTTATTAGCCATTTTGATTTATAGTTTGCATCCACAACTTCTGTGCAGCAACACCGAAGGCATTGAAAGATCAGAAAACAACAGAAGTAAAAAGTGGTATAGAAGATATATTTTATCTTCAGATTTACACTTGTATAGCTAAAAGCGGGTACTGCCTTTTATTTTACTGGCTGGCTTAAAGAAAAAAGAAATTGTGAAAGAAAACAAAGATAAGCTCTTTTTGTAAGGTTTTGATGGCATAAATTTGTGGAAGAACGCCATATTAAGTGTATGACAAAATAGGAAGCAGTATTGTATGATATATTTATAACGAAAATAATGTGTTTCATGCAGTATCAGCCCTGACAGATGCTTTGTGGGACAGGTGTAGTGGTAGTCCTGCTAAAGCAGCCACCAGCTCTTTGCCATTGAAAGCAGGAGACTGAGTTTCCTTCTCAGCTAACTTGGAAGTAATCGACAATATCAAAAGTACTTCTTGGGCCTTGTCTGCTTCCCAGGAATTTTACATTTACCCAATGTAATTAATTGTCTCCAAAGCCAAGGAGGAGAGAGCAAATGAAGCATTGGACAAAATAGAGGGACATGGAAGCAACTTGATTTTATTATTGATTTTATTTCTTTTATAGGGGAAAGTATTGGAATATGTGGTTATTTTTCCCCAGAAACAAAAAGCACAGGAATGCATATAAGAAGCCATAAAATATGCAGGAATCTTTTTCATTCATTCTTTCTAAAGAAACCAGTTAATTCAGATAAAGGCTTTTTAACTAAATTTGTTTTAATATATATATATATCTATATGTATGTGTATGGTACAGTACTAACTTGGTTAAAGATTAACAGGTACAAATGAGTTGCCTGGAAGCCTTTCTACAAAATAGTTTTCTGAAGGTATCAGGTTTTTTTGAGGGGGGTGGGAAAGGAAGGCTTGAAATTGTCTCTTGAAACTCCAATATCTTTCAGTTTGTGCTTTGCTTTGGTTAAAAATATATATGTGGTATGTGCATTCATGTGCCCGTTCTTCACTCATCAGTTATACATTTGTAAGGGTGTTTATCCTATATGCCTATTGTTTCATGTTTGTACAGGGATATGGTAGCTACGTATTTTGTTGTGTCCAGTCTGCAAAAAAGAAAAAAAAAAGCACAATTCTATGCTTTGTCTTGCTTACATTCATTAAATCATTACTTTTACATATACCTGCTGATTTCTTGTGATGTAAACATTCAGATTCCTCTCTCTTTATTTGCTAAAAGAAATTGAGAACTTATGTAGATACAGTACACACGACTTAGAGGATGGCTCTGCTTTATTAAACTCAATTTATTCTTAATTAAAGATCATATTTATTTTTACAGAAGACCAAATGAAAGTAGCCCATGAGCCGAGGGTGATACATGAATTGTATACTCTTCC